CATGGCGAGGGGACTCGCTTCCATGGCACTGGAAATTGCGTCTGTGCATGTGCAGATGCCGGAAATCGCGTCTGCACAGGCGTAGACGCAGACGCTGGAAATCATGCGCACGCAATCTGGCCCACAGAGGGATCTCCGCTGGAGTGAACCGGCCCAGGCGAGATAAACCTTGTTGACCCCTGCTGTAGAGCAAGAGAAGCTGCAGAGAAGGGATGCTGATGTGATTCTGGAATAAGCTGGCCCTTATGTAAATAAAACCATATATCATAAAGACACCCTAGCCCCCATTGTGCCTCATTCCCCAAGGAAACACTAGCCCTGGGTAAAGCATGCCTGCAACCCCTGGAATATCAGAGATAAGGGTGGTGGGTAACCATATGTATGGGCAACAGCACACGCATACGCATGATTTAGAAGATTGCAAAGGGAGATGTTAATGGGGATGCTTTAAAAACCGCAAAGCCACCAACAAATCCAAAGGCTTCCCAAAGCCCCATTTCCCAGCCCCCCCCCCGCCTTGCCTCTGAACCCTCAACCCAGGGCTTCCAGAGATCAAAAGCTCTTGACCAAAAGAGCCCTGAACTCCCAGGCACACGGCTGTTCTAGGAATGCACTCTTTCCACAAATCAAAATGAACTATAAACAAAGTCACAAAATTAGGGGGAAATGTTCTCAGTGGGGTGAAGAGCTGGTTTGTGAACTAGTCATGTCCACAGCATCTCGTAAGACCCAGAGAGGATTTAAATTTTTTTACACACACAGACACTGTAAGAACATCAGCTGAACAGGAGAAGGGGCAATGGGCCAAAATCACTTACGTAAACCTCTCTCACTCTGCACTTGACATTTGGTGGCAGATATTCCCACCCCCCCACGGCATGTAGAGCTAAATGGATATGGGAAGATAACTTATTTACATTGCATAGGCTTTCCCTGAGTGCAAATAGAACTGTTTTATGTGATTCATTTTATTCATATCTCTATCTATCATCTATCTATCTATCTATCTATCTATCTATCTATCTATCTATCTATCATCTATCTATCTATCTATCTATCTATCTATCCATCTATCTATATCTATCTATACATACACACATAGATACATAATCTATTATTATGTTCTATTCTTGTGTTGTTTGCTGTATTCTTTATTAGGCAGTATATACCTTTGTGCATGAATAAAAGGGACGCGGGTGGCGCTGTGGGTAAAAGCCTCAGTGCCTAGGGCTTGCCGATCGAAAGGTTGGCGGTTCGAATCCCCGCGGCGGGGTGCGCTCCCGCTGCTCGGTCCCAGCGCCTGCCAACCTAGCAGTTCGAAAGCACCTCCGGGTGCAAGTAGATAAATAGGGACCGCTTACTAGCGGGAAGGTAAACGGCGTTTCCGTGTGCGGCTCTCGCTCGCCAGAGCAGCGATGTCACGCTGGCCACGTGACCCGGAAGTGTCTCCGGACAGCGCTGGCCCCCGGCCTCTTAAGTGAGATGGGCGCACAACCCTAGAGTCTGTCAAGACTGGCCCGTACGGGCAGGGGTACCTTTACCTTTACCTTTACCTTTACCTTTACCTTTATGAATAAAATAAAGATTTTATATTACATGGAGTAAGAGAAAGTATTTTCAACAAATCTGGCATGACACATTAAGGATATGGAATTTAGCATCAAAATGTACAAAACTGCTTTTCTAATCTTCTCTCGGGACCAGTACACAAACCTAAGCAGCTCCCCCCCCCCCGGCCCCCAGTGGCAAATACCTTCTATCTGCATGTAAACTGTCCCACAGTCTATGGCTGCCTACATACTATCCATTTAAAGCAGAAACCCCTGCAAAAATCCTGGGAACTGGAGGTTAAGGGTGCTGGGAATTGTAGGTCTGTGAAGGGTAAACTACAATTCCCAGGATTCATTGCAGGCGGGAGTGTGCTTTAAGTGTATAGTATATACACAGCCTGTACAGTGGTACCTCAGGTTACATACGCTTCATGTTACATACGCTTCAGGTTACAGATTCCGCTAACCCAGAAATAGTCTTCAGGTTAAGAACTTTGCTTCAGGATGAGAACAGAAATCGTGCAGCGGCGGCGCAGCGGCAGCAGGAGGCTCCATTAGCTAAAGTGGTGCTTCAGGTTAAGAACAGTTTCAGGTTAAGAATGGACCTCTGCAACAAATTAAGTACTTAACCCGAGGTACCACTGTAATTCAGGAGTGGGCAGAAAGTAGATTGGGATTTCTGGCTTCCAGTTGTTTAACCATGGCAACAACAAAAGGATCACCAGAGAAATTACAACGCTGAAATGTTTGCTGGTGGGGATAACTAGGAGTAGATTTTAATAGGTTCGTAGTAAGTTGCCTTATATTCAAGTCAGACAATTGATCTTTTCGGCTCTGATACTCAAAATAAATCCCTGGGCTCAGGATTATTTAATTCCAAATCTACTTCTTTTGCAACTAGTTCCAGGTGGTGGATCTTGGAGTTGTAGTAAAGAATAGAAGTAGATCTTGCAGACTTGAAGTTTGCCCACCCCTGGTTTAGATTATATGGGATAAGCAGGGACAAAAACCATAACATTTGCTGCCCTTTCACATTACCTGAGGGGATTCAACCACTGTACCTCATGGGAGGGTTCAGGGAGGACTTGCTTTCCCCTGCAGCCTGTGATGTGGTTTGGTTGCTTCCGTCACCTGGAACTAGTTCCTCAGCAAGCATCTCTTAGCAGTTTCATGCCTGCTCTTTTTTTAAGGACACCAGAGGACTTCTGAGTGGGGGCCTCAGGCTAGAGGACCTGCCCCCCAGGTGCATCTGGCTCCATTGTAATATATATCTCAGCCACAGGTTAAGATGAACCTTCTCACCCAGGCCTTTGGGTGGAGGGAGGATACAAGTGTTATTCTCTGATTATATATTTATTTTTTATTTTTAAATTTTGATTGTGCTCTAGTACATTTGAATGTAATGTTTATAGTGATTTTGTCTGTACCTTGTCCTAGGACCATAAGGTGAATTGGGGCATGGTTAGAAATAGAAATAACACATAAATAATGCTGTAGTTTATAATGCACAGATTGCAGGGTAGGTGGGGGTGTGTGAGTAATTGCAGCGAGGGAATATATTATTTGGTCTCTTGATCTATTCTGTCCAGGCTAGGTGCAAGGCAGACTAGCTGGAGAAAGGCGAGTTTTGGGCAGGACTTTAGGAACATGGACCTGGAGTGGTTAGTTCATCAGGGAAAAACCTGACACTGAGCCTTAAGGAGCAGCAACAGCAACAACAACAGCAACAACAACAACTGTATCCTAATTGCTAGCCTTGCCCCTGCTGGGCCTCACCCACTCTAAGATCTTACCTTTCCCCCACTCTTTCCAGGCACAATCTGTGCTTTAAAACTTTTTATCCGAGTGTCCTTTTGTTGCCGCAGAGCTTTCCCTATGAAGACATGCTTTTTAACATACAATAGGAGCAAGCAGCAATCCACTGAAAACCCAAATTGACATTTGCTCTGATTGAGCACTAAGGTGTGGGTTTTTGTGGGGAATGCTTTGTGGCAACAGCAGCAACAACAAAAACTGCTCAGACATGGAGCTTTTAAGCACAGACCTGTACTTGGAAAGAGTGGGGGGGGGGAGGTAAGAGCCTCTCACTCTCTGGGTCTTCTGAAATGGAGTCCTCCAAGTTTGAGGATGGCTGTGCCACATTCTTGGGCTGGAGGGGCACTGGCATCAAAGGCTCATCTGATGCAAGCCCTTCCATTGACCCGTTGTCTTGCCCCTCTTCAACTGACAGCAAGCCACAGCGAAAGGTAACCTGAAAGGGCTGCTCTTTCACCCAGACATCAGTCAAATGGCCTGATGTACTCAACTGTAGTTGTGCAGTGCCATTTTACCAGTGATGGACACAACCCAGCAAGAGGCTCTCCCGTGTAAGCCCCATTGAAACAAATGGGAGCTGTGCAAGAGCGCTGGTGTGGGAAGACCTCCTCCTCCTAAGGAAGGAGCAAGAGTTTGAAAATAGGCAATTGCCCAAGATGTGGGCAACTTGCAATTGTACTCTTTGGGGGCAGCAATGTGGTATGATATGAACAGGGCAGGAAAATCCTTTAAACCTCCTGATTCTACAGCTTTCCCTGTCCAGTGTGTTCCATTCTTTGGCTGAGTCAGCCTTCTCAGAATCCCAGAGTTGCAAGGGACCCCCAGGACCATCTAGTGTAACCCCTTGCAATGCAGGATTCACAGCCCAAGTATCCCTGACAGAAGGCCATCCAACCCCTGTTGGATGAAGGATCCCATGAAGGACCCACCACCTCCCAAGGGAGTCTCTTCCACTGCTCCGCTTACGAACTTCCAGATCCTCCAACTGCCCACAACTGGAAAAGGGCGGACACTGGCCCTACACATATTGTTGGGAATGTAACTCCCATCTCCCCTCACGACTGGCCATGCTGGCTGGGACTGGCAGGGTGGCTGTCCAACAATATCTAGGCGGCCATAAATTTCCCATCTCTGGGATTAGATGGATCTGCAAACTGATCCAGCCATTCTTGTCTCACATTCTCTCTGTCTCCCTCTAAAGCCATTCATCCGTGGGCTATGTAACTGAAGAGCATTCCCCCCTCTCCCCATGTTTATTGATCTCCTTTATCCCCTCCTATCGCAATCTTGTTTCTCTGTCTCTTTGTCTTATTCTGCCCATTGTTTGTTCAGAGGCCTAAAACAGCATATGCCCAGTTCCTTACCAACAAAATGGCTTCCCCCCTTTCATCTTTATCGCTTGGTCAGTTTCTTCCACTCAGGGGAAGACAAATATTTTGCATGGCCTTAAACCAACACAAAAGCCCATCCTCTCTGGCGCCACATAGTCAGAGTTTGGTGACCAAATCCTACCCTGCCCCCATTATTATTATTTTTTAGGGGGTGGGCTGGGGTGTCAGTTTTGTTCCCTCACCACCCTCCTGGCCCACTCACTCATGTGGCTACTTTGAAAATAAGAACTGACAAGAAAGCCTGCCATTTTGGACAGAGGAGGGGGCGGCTGAAAACTTCCATCCTTGAGGCTGGGTGGTTTTCTCTCTCTTTTAATTCCTTCCCCCCCCCCATCCTTTTGGCAGGTGGTTGATGGAAACCACATGACGGTTCAGCCCCTGAAGTCATTTTTTGGGAGGGAGGGAGTGTTTGTGTGCGTAGAGAGCGCGCTGTACCTCATTGAAACCAGCTTGCCTACAAGGGAAGTCAACTCCTCTCCCGTCCCTCCAGCGCAGCGCAGTCTCCTCCAGCCCCGTGAGAAGGGCTTGACACACACAGCTCCCGTCTGCAGCAGCAAAGAAGAAAAAGCAAAACCCACAGAGTCAGGGAAGAGGAAGAAAGAAGAAGGGGATTTACAGGCAGAAGGAAGCAGGCATTTGGCTAGAGAAGAAAGTCTGCCCCAGGTTGTGACACCCAGGACCACATTCTGACCCAAAGGTACCTTTTCTTTTCCTTCTGCACCCCGCTCCCTCCATCCCCAGGGTGTCTGGCAAAGTTTTTCACACGGACTGTCCCTGTGGTGATTGAGTTAATGAATGGACCACACAGGGATTGCAGTCAAGGGGATGAAAGCCATGAACTTGTGCGCTAGACTCCCTTGCTCTCACTAAACCTTCACTTCCAGGGCTCCCTTGCTCTAACCATTAGAACTTAACTCATGAAATCCCATTCTCCTCTGGGAATGTTGCCTTCTGAGTCTACCCTTACCATATTTACTATTACTTCATTTACCCCCCCCCAAAGCCCTAAAACCTTATACTAGCTTCTTTCTAGTGATGGGGAACAGAACCCAGGAGTCCTGGACGACCTCTCCAACCACGGGAGAAGTCTACTTGGCACCCTCCCTCTGTCCTAAGCCTCATATAGATATGAATTCCACTGCAGTGTGTTTGTGTGTATCTGTCTTTCTGTCTATCTATCTACACTGGAATTCTTATCTGCTGCCTGTCGCTGCCACTTCCCTCAACTCTGCTCCCCTTCCCCACAAGCTGATGAGAATTGGGCTGTTAACAGCTTGCTCTTAAACTCTGTAGTTCTCAGGTTTCCGTTTGTTACTTTCATCTGCTTGGCAGCTGTCTAACCCTTTAAGAACAAGACAGGATTCCTTGGTTTTCGCTCTCGTTCCCTCGAACAATCTTCAGGGTTCCCAGGCTGTTGCTGCTGGCTTTCTTCTCCTTGGTAGCAAAATTTATAGATGCTGGGGCCACATTCTGACCTCAGCCATAACAATCCATTGAGGTCTCCTGTTATTCTTGCACCATTACCAGGGTCTCCAAACTCCTTTGAAGGGGTGGTTGCCTTGGCGGGGTCTTCTCTTTGCTCGATATGCGGAGGGGGTCCTGCCACCATGAGGCATGGGGCGACCTCACACAGTGGATTTCCCCATCATTAAGGCTGGTGGAATGAGATCCATGATGCAGGGCCCAATCCACTGGAGAGCTCTCTTGCACAAAGCCCCATTGAAGGGAACACTGGTGGTGCAAGAACACAGTAGTGGGTTGGGCAACTTTCCAGAGTCAGAAGGGTCCTTGGAGGTCATAAAGGAAGACTGTATGTGTGTGTGTGTTTGGATTTTTTGCCAGCAACTGTGCCAGTCCTGTGAATATTCCTTAGGGTCCCTAGGTACATCTTTGTCAGGAGGACAAATGTAAATGTGTGAACTGGGTGATAATGGGCAATGCCCTTGGTCACAGCATTTGGCAGTATGGGAATTGTAGCAGGGGTGCTGGTGGACTGCGTTCACCTAGTTAATTTGTTGCATGTTTTATGTGCGCAAGGAAACTTGAACCTGCTAGTGGGCAGAGAGGAAAATGTTTATTGTGTGCATGTTCCTAACGGGTGGCTCGGTGCACTTCTACTCCTGCCCACCACAAATTTAAAAACATTGGGGTTAAAAAAAGGAGAAGTGAAGGTCAAGATTCTTAGGAAGCTCAATGCCACCAGACCCCCATCCCTCTGCTCCATGGACTTGTGGCACACACACAGCCCTCCTCATTGACTCCTGCATCCTCAGCACCAACCTGGTATCACAAAAGATCATCATAAACAGAACCCTGCTGGCTCAGGCCTGGTGGATCTAATCTAGCATCCTGTGGTCAGCCAAATCCCACATGAAGTCCATATCTCATATGCCTCTGGATGTGGAGGTTTCACTCATCTCTTGTGGCTCATTGCCACTAGTACCTTACACCATGCATTTGGTTAATCCCCTTGTAAAGCGGTCTGAGCCATCATCACCACACTTCATGGGAGCAAATCCCTTAAGTTAACCAGAGGTTGTGCAGAAAAGTACTTTTTGTTCTGCCCATTCTGAACCTACCGCCTATCAGTTTTTTTTGCATTGTCCTTTGTCCCAGGACTGTGCCTCATTTTCCCATCCCATACTGCTAGACGCTACCTCCTCTTTTAGAAGCTTTCATTCTCCTATTTCCCTTGTTGTTGACTATGGGGAATCCACCTCTCTCCCCTAGCTAGAGATAGAATCCTGCAGCATTTACAGCCCCTCCCCAATTCCCACCCCTCTTCTCAGTCTGCCAACCTCAAAGACCCTCATGTTCCTCCTTAGACTGGATCTGGTGCCCACTGAAATCTGTGCCTGTGGCCCAGCAAGCCAGCATTGCATTATTTTATCTTATTTTTATCTGAGCAAAGCTGTTAGTTATGGATGGCATAAGGTACTTGGTTGGCTTGTTTGTCCAAAGTGAGAATGAAACATGAGCAGAGCAGACTGGAAGAGCTTTTCATTCAAAGCCAGCATAAATGTTTGCAAACCGGGACAGCAAATCCTGCAACGTCTCCAGGAGCATCCAATCCCACCCTTGGAAGCAATTATATGGGGAGGCCTCAAGGGGGATAGGAAACCACAAAAACCGGCTAGTTTAAGCAAAGCCTCCTTGATCCTTTCAAAGAGTCCTGCAAAAGAGAAGATGCTAAATGCAAAAAAGAGGAGGAAGCTGGGTTAGCAAAGGCTTATACTATATAGGGAGAGGCATCCAACTAAACGGTATTATGAGAGAGTTGGTGGCTATCATCGAGTGAAGGAAAATGGCACTGGAGGTCAGAATTTTGCAAGGCATGGTGGGGGCAATGGAAAGGGTTAAGTAGTCAATGTAAATGAGAGGCATCATGGTTCCTAACTTCATATCTGAGAGAGGAGGTCCAGCAGGCTAGGGCAGGGAGGGCTGGGAGAAAAACCCACACATGCTCATCAACTCTACCTCCTTGTGCCAGCCCCTGCCTGTGGAGCGTGCGGATTTCTTGGCACGCTGGCTGCTGAGCTGGCAGGCATGGCGCACTGCCTGCCACAGAACCACCAGCTTGGCTCCACATAGCCACAGATGCCCAAGACCCACAGGCTGCTCCCAGCCACGGAACATGGCATTCGGGCACAACCTCTCCTCACCACCCCATCTCTGAGCTAAGCTCAAATGCTTCTTAACCCTCCATTAGACATATGGCACGCTGCTGGCGAAAGCTTTGTCTGGGTTCTGCCAACAGCATGTGTGCAATCTATATCACACTAGTGATACAGATATATCACACAGGGTCAGACAACCTCCTGATTGAGCTTCATCCTGATTTGTCTGCAGGAAGATTGGACAACATTGCTTTTAAATGAGCACCCATTTTGATTTGTTTGTGGGAAAGTCACATGACGTCGCATCAAAGCAAATGTTACCCCACACTTCCCAGCATTTTCCTGTCACTTTTCATATTGCAAAATGTTTGATCTTTTGGGGAAGTAGGCTTGTTGAATGAGACTTCCCAATCAACTGTAATTGTGCAACCCAAATTTGTTGGGATGTGGCTGCACCTGAAAGCAGGGACAGTCTGGAAGTCCTTGATGGCTGGTTTCATTAGCATCACAACTCTCAGTCTGCCTCTAGAGAGGCAGAATACCTGTATGAACCCCACAGTCCACTGCACTTTGATGGGTCCTTTTGTCTGTTGTGAATCTGAGCTCCCTTGATTGCACTGGCTCCCCTGCTTCATACTTAATCAAATATACCAGGAAATACTATACACGAGGGAGGACAGAACATGTGTCCAATAAAGGGGTCCTACTTCCACATGTGTGTTTGTGTGTATGATTATATAATCATGTTTTATTTCTAGGGCTTCTAAAATTTGCTACTAACATTAATCATTTGTGCTGTGGTTTAGGATGTTCAAAGCGCATACATTGTATTGTAACATTTACAACAATCCAGTATGGCAGGTTGATATTGTGGGTGGCTAAATCTGAGCAACAGTGGCAAAGGCAAAGTTTGAACCAAAAGCTTCCCACCTCAAAATTGGAAGATGCAGTAGGCATGCTGTCACTCAGGCTGTCACTCTTATTGGTGTTATCATTGAGGAATCCCTGATAAGCTTCCTGGGAACCACATGGCTCTCCGAAACATAGACTCAGGGGACTGCCCACAGTGGAGTTTATTGTGTGTTTGCAGCTGTTTGTGTTCCCATTTAATTTGCATAGTCCACATGAAATTCTTCTCAAACAACACCAATCTCATACGTCCCACCTGAACATTAGGGTTTACCTGATATGGGGATAATCCAATAAGTTGGGGAAATGCAGGCTCCAAACCACGTCACTTGGGTTTTTCCAGTCTTTTGGGGTGAAAGGCTCAGTTGTCACTTTCTGCTATTCCCCTTTCCATGCCCACATCTTCCTCAATGCTTTCATTTCTTTTTTGGCTGTACTTGTAACTATTTCAGGGGTGATATTGAATGGAGGAATAATTTTACTTTGGTCCGTCAGATTTGCACACAACCAGAAAACTGCACAAGCAAATTTACAGCTGTGTGTTTTTGCCTGCTTCTTGGGTGGGGATTTTTTTTAAACAACAACAACAGGGCACATCTGCAGCTCTCTATGTACATGCCCTGTTGGTACTTAATTGGCACAACAGAATCTAATTAGAAGGCAGGGACAAACACAAAAGGGAATGCCTGCTGGCATGAATGGGGAAGGCTATGCAAATTCAAATATACAAATTCTAATATGTGAGGGTGTGGACAACTTTGGTCTAATCTGAATGTGGGAAAAGTGGATTAACAGCTTGTTGTTGTTTAGTCGTTTAGTCGTGTCCGACTCTTTGTGACACCCTGGACCAGAGCACGCCAGGCCCTCCTATCTTCCACTGCCTCCCGCAGTTTGGTCAAACTCATGCTGGTAGCTTCGAGAATACTGTCCAACCATCTCATCCTCTGTCGTCCCCTTCTCCTTGTGCCCTCCATCTTTCCCAGCATCAGTGTCTTCTCCAGGGAGTCTTCTCTTCTCATGAGGTGGCCAAAGTACTGGAGCCTCAGCTTCACGATCTGTCCTTCCAGTGAGCACTCAGGGCTGATTTCCTTAAGAATGGAAAGGTTTGATCTTCTTGCAGTCCATGTGACTCTCAAGAGTTTCCTCCAGCACCAGAATTCAAAAGTATCCA